AACTACTATACAGTGACAGTATTATAACTACTGTACAGTGACAGTATTATAACTAACTACTGTACAGTGACAGTATCATAACTAACTACTGTACAGTGACAGTATCATAACTAACTACTGTACAGTGACAGTATCATAACTAACTACTGTACAGTGACAGTATTATTACTACTGTACAGTGACAGTACTATTACTACTGTACAGTGACAGTACTATTACTACTGTACAGTGACAGTACTATTACTACTGTACAGTGACAGTATTATAAATAACTAATGTACATTAACAGTATCATAACTAACTACAGTACAGTGACAGTATCATATACTAACTGCAGTACAGTGACAGTATCGTAACTAACTGCAGTACAGTGACAGTATCATAACTAACTACTGTACAGTGACACTTATAACCAACTACTGTACAGTGACAGTATTATAACTAACTACTGTACAGTGACAGTATTATAACTAACTACTGTACAGTGATAGTATCATAACTAACTACTGTACAGTGACAGTATTATAACTAACTACTGTACAGTGACAGTATTATAAGTAACTACTGTACAGTGATAGTATCATAACTAAGTATTGTACAGTGAAAGTATCATAACTACTGTACAGTGACTATTATAACTAACTACTGTACAGTGACTGTATTATAACTACTGTACAGTGACTGTATTATAACTAACTACTGTATAGTGACAGTATTATAACTACTGTACAGTGACTGTATTATAACTAACTACTGTACAGTGACTGTATTATAACTATTGTATAGTGACAGTATTATAACTACTGTACAGTGACTGTATTATAACTAACTACTGTACAGTGACTGTATTATAACTAACTACTGTACAGTGACTGTATTATAACTAACTACTGTACTGTGACAGAATCATAACTAAGTACTGTACAGTGACAGTATCGTAACTAACTACTGTACAGTGACTGTATTATAACTAACTACTGTACAGTGACTGTATTATAACTAACTACTGTACAGTGACAGTATTATAACTAACTACTGTACTGTGACAGAATCATAACTAAGTACTGTACAGTGACAGTATCGTAACTAACTACTGTACAGTGACTGTATTATAACTACTGTATAGTGACAGTATTATAAATAACTAATGTACATTAACAGTATCATAACTAACTACAGTACAGTGACAGTATCATATACTAACTGCAGTACAGTGACAGTATCGTAACTAACTGCAGTACAGTGACAGTATCATAACTAACTACTGTACAGTGACACTTATAACCAACTACTGTACAGTGACAGTATTATAACTAACTACTGTACAGTGACAGTATTATAACTAACTACTGTACAGTGACAGATATAACTAACTACTGTACAGTGACAGTATTATAAGTAACTACTGTACAGTGATAGTATCATAACTAAGTATTGTACAGTGAAAGTATCATAACTACTGTACAGTGACTATTATAACTAACTACTGTACAGTGACTGTATTATAACTACTGTACAGTGACTGTATTATAACTAACTACTGTATAGTGACAGTATTATAACTACTGTACAGTGACTGTATTATAACTAACTACTGTACAGTGACTGTATTATAACTATTGTATAGTGACAGTATTATAACTACTGTACAGTGACTGTATTATAACTAACTACTGTACAGTGACTGTATTATAACTAACTACTGTACAGTGACTGTATTATAACTACTGTACAGTGACTGTATTATAACTAACTACTGTATAGTGACAGTATTATAACTACTGTACAGTGACTGTATTATAACTAACTACTGTACAGTGACAGTATCATAACTAACTACTGTACAGTGACTGTATTATAACTACTGTATAGTGACAGTATTATAAGTAACTAATGTACATTGACAGTATTATAACTAACTACAGTACAGTGACAGTATTATAGCTAACTACTGTACAGTGACAGTTTTATAACTAATATAAACTGACAGTATCATAAGTAACTACTGTACAGTGACAGTATCATAACTAACTATTGTACACTGTACAGGAACAGTATTATAACTAACTACTGTAGTGTGACAGTATTATAACTAACTAATGTTCAGTGACAGTATCATAAGTAATTTTGTACACTGTACAGGAACAGTATTATAACTAATTACTGTACAGTGACAGTATTATAACTAACTACTGTACTGTGACAGAATCATAACTAAGTACTGTACAGTGACAGTATCGTAACTAACTACTGTACAGTGACTGTATTATAACTAACTACTGTACAGTGATAGTATCATAACTAACTACTGTACAGTGACAGTATTATAACTAACTACTGTACAGTGACAGTATTATAAGTAACTACTGTACAGTGATAGTATCATAACTAACTACTGTACAGTGACAGTATTATAACTAACTACTGTACAGTGACAGTATTATAAGTAACTACTGTACAGTGATAGTATCATAACTAAGTATTGTACAGTGACAGTATCATAACTACTGTACAGTGACTGTATTATAACTAACTACTGTACAGTGACTGTATTATAACTACTGTACAGTGACTGTATTATAACTAACTACTGTATAGTGACAGTATTATAAATAACTAATGTACATTGACAGTATCATAACTAACTACAGTACAGTGATAGTATCATATACTAACTGCAGTACAGTGACAGTATCGTAACTAACTGCAGTACAGTGACAGTATCATAACTAACTACTGTACAGTGACAGTATTATAACTAACTACTGTACAGTGACAGTATTATAACTAACTACTGTACAGTGACAGTATTATAACTAACTACTGTACAGTGATAGTATCATAACTAACTACTGTACAGTGACAGTATTATAACTAACTACTGTACAGTGACAGTATTATAAGTAACTACTGTACAGTGATAGTATCATAACTAAGTATTGTACAGTGACAGTATCATAACTACTGTACAGTGACTGTATTATAACTAACTACTGTACAGTGACTGTATTATAACTACTGTACAGTGACTGTATTATAACTAACTACTGTATAGTGACAGTATTATAACTACTGTACAGTGACTGTATTATAACTAACTACTGTACAGTGACTGTATTATAACTATTGTATAGTGACAGTATTATAACTACTGTACAGTGACTGTATTATAACTAACTACTGTACAGTGACTGTATTATAACTAACTACTGTACAGTGACTGTATTATAACTACTGTACAGTGACTGTATTATAACTAACTACTGTATAGTGACAGTATTATAACTACTGTACAGTGACTGTATTATAACTAACTACTGTACAGTGACTGTATTATAACTACTGTATAGAGACAGTATTATAACTACTGTACAGTGACTGTATTATAACTAACTACTGTACAGTGACTGTATTATAACTAACTACTGTATAGTGACAGTATTATAACTACTGTACAGTGACTGTATTATAACTAACTACTGTACAGTGACTGTATTATAACTAACTACTGTACAGTGACTGTATTATAACTATCTACTGTACAGTGACTGTATTATAACTACTGTATAGTGACAGTATTATAACTAACTAATGTACATTGACAGTATTATAACTAACTGCTGTACAGTGACAGTATTATAACTAACTGCTGTACAGTGACAGTATTATAACTAACTACTGTACTGTGACAGAATCATAACTAAGTACTGTACAGTGACAGTATTATAACTAACTGCTGTACAGTGACAGTATCGTAACTAACTACTGTACAGTGACTGTATTATAACTAACTACTGTGCAGTGACTGTATTATAACTAACTACTGTATAGTGACAGTATTATAACTACTGTACAGTGACTGTATTATAACTAACTACTGTACAGTGACTGTATTATAACTACTGTATAGTGACAGTATTATAACTACTGTACAGTGACTGTATTATAACTAACTACTGTACAGTGACTGTATTATAACTAACTAATGTACAGTGACTGTATTATAACTACTGTATAGTGACAGTATTATAACTAACTAATGTACATTGACAGTATTATAACTAACTGCTGTACAGTGACAGTATTATAACTAACTGCTGTACAGTGACAGTATTATAACTAACTACTGTACTGTGACAGAATCATAACTAAGTACTGTACAGTGACAGTTATTATAACTAACTGCTGTACAGTGACAGTATCGTAACTAACTACTGTACAGTGACTGTATTATAACTATTGTATAGTGACATTATTATATGTAACTAATGTACATTGACAGTATTATAACTAACTACTGTACAGTGACAGTATCATAACAAACTACAGTACAGTGACAGTATTATAGCTAACTACTGTACAGTGACAGTATCATAACTAACTACAGTACAGTGACAGTATCATATACTAACTGCAGTACAGTGACAGTATCGTAACTAACTGCAGTACAGTGACAGTATCATAACTAACTACTGTACAGTGACACTTATAACTAACTACTGTACAGTGACAGTATTATAACTAACTACTGTACAGTGACAGTATTATAACTAACTACTGTACAGTGATAGTATCATAACTAACTACTGTACAGTGACAGTATTATAACTAACTACTGTACAGTGATAGTATCATAACTAACTACTGTACAGTGACAGTATTATAACTAACTACTGTACAGTGACAGTATTATAAGTAACTACTGTACAGTGACAGTATTATAACTAACTACTGTACAGTGACAGTATTATAAGTAACTACTGTACATTTACAGTATTATAACTAACTACTGTACAGTGACAGTATTATAAGTAACTACTGTACATTGACAGTATTATAACTATCTACTGTACATTGACAGTCTTGAACCAGTAGGCCAGTGAGGTAAGTTGCTTAATGAGTCAGATAGAGGGAGAGGTTTTTCACATGTTAATGAAGCAAGATGGTTAAATGGCCACCTGTGATTACCTTGTTTACATAAAAAATGGTCATTATTGCAGACGTCGGTGTGTGAAGTACCAGGCGGGAACCACGTGGTGCTATGCTGCTCGGACACTATGACACTAACAGTCAAGCTCTACTTCAATGGCCTAGTTACTGCCAATGTTGAATACTACACAGATCAAGTTAATGAGCACAAAATTGTTAATGATGTAAGTACAGTACTATGATCAACTGTTATGTACTGTACTGTTTTGGTAGATTCAGTACAGTACAGGGTTATGAATATTAAACAGGATACAGTATTGCTGATGTAGAAGTAATGTATTTTATATCTAAGAGTCTAGTTATTGTTCATCCTCAGATGTTATTGGGTGCCAGATCAATCTTCTATTGAAGGTTAGAATGATATTCACATGTGTAAGATATTAAACTTGGAGAGTTTACTTCTTGTGGTGGTATAACACAACATCATTGTTGTTCACTGTAGACTGGGAGAAAAGGAAACGTACACACACAGTAAGACCTTGATAAATCTGACTTCAATATATTGTCATTTGCTTTTTTCGGACTCTATGAGGTGTTGTGGACCGCTCCTCTGTTCACCAGGAAAATTGTCTGGAAAATCCAACATCAGTCCAGACGGTTTGTGTATTAGCCCCTATCAAACAGACCGCATTACTTATATAAATGTGGGCTACATACATTTTATCACCCACTGTAACTAGACTATGAGCAGTGAGTAGTCATAACTGTATATGTGACAGTGTTTTTCTACTGTCCTCTCCCGTACCTTGAATGCGTGGGTCAGCAGTAAGTACACAGCACCTGTCCAGTCGTTCTCAGTCTCTCACCCACTGCAAACGTGTGGTCACAGAGCTCGTTACACGTACTCTCTTTTTTTTTGTTAATGCTCACATCTCATAGTGTTAATTACAGTAATATCATAACTGTTTGTGCAGTATGTTGTTTATTTTCTTGATAAATGGAGAAAAGACCATTTGTGTTTAAAAACTTAACCCATAAACATTTAATTATGTTACTTCTAGTGTAGCTTTAATACTGGTGCTAGAGGATCTTCATCGGTGATTACAACAGGAAAATAGAAGATAACGAATATGCGGTTGAACGTCTGTGCATGAGTTCGTGTGGCACGTGTCTCACTGGCTCGGACTCTCAGCCTCAGTTCTAGTCCTGCCTTCATATGTATAGTATCAGTGTGCCACACCTCACTACCTACACTCATTTATGTGAACTTTTTTTGTAGAGTTTCTAGTACAGTATCTTTATGAAAAGAACAACACTTGCTTACTGAATACTGTACAATGGTCTAATCAAATTTGCTGTAGGCCTAACGAGAGCTAAGACACTGTGTATGTAAGCGGGTGGGGGTGGGGTTGTGGTGGCCTGATCAGGGGTTGTCGCATTCGTCAAATTTATTTATTTATTGTAGGTGACACAGAGACATGGTAGGTGACACACAGGCATGGTAGGTGACACAGAGGCATGGTAGGTAACACAGAGACATGGTAGGTGACACAGAGGTATGGTAGGTGACAGAGACATGGCAGGTACACAGGCATGGTAGGTAGACAGAGGCATGGTGGGTGACACAGAGACATGGTAGGTGACACACAGGGCAAGGTGACACAGAGGCATGGTGGGTGACACAGAGACATGGTGGGTGACACAGAGACATGGTGGGTGACACACAGGCATGTGGGACACAGGCATGGTGGGTGACACAGAGACATGGCGGGTGACAACAGGCATGGCGGGTGACACAGAGGCATGGTAGTGACACAGAGACATGGTAGGTGACACAGAGGCATGGTAGGTGACACAGAGACATGGTAGGTGACACAGAGACATGGTAGGTGACACAGGACATGGTGGGTGACACACAGGCATGGTAGGTGACACAGGAGACATGGTAGGTGACAGAGGGGTGACACAGAGCATGGTAGGTGACACAGGCATGGTGGGTGACACAGACAGGCATGGTAGGTGACACAGAGGCATGGTAGGTGACACAGAGGACATGGTGGGTGACACAGAGACATGGTAGGGTGACACAGAGGCATGGTAGGGTGACACAGAGGCATGGTGGGTGACACAAGGCATGGTGACACAGAGGACATGGTAGGGTGACACAGAGGCATGGTAGGTGACACAGGGCATAGTAGGTGAGCAGACATGGTAGGTGACAGGCATGGTAGGTGACACAGAGATATGGTGACCGAGTAGGGGAAGGGGTAGGGTGACACAGAGTTATGGTGGGTACAGAGGCATGGTGGGTGACACAGGTGGTGGTGGGTGACAGGGCATGGTGGGTGACAGGGGCATGGTGGTGACAGAGATGGTGGTGGGTGACACAGGCATGGTGGGTGACCCTGAGACATGGTGGGTGACACAGAGGACATGGTGGGTGACACAGAGACATGGTGGGTGACATGGGCATGTGGGTGACACAGGCATGGTGGGTGACACAACAGGGCAGTGGGTGACACAGGACATGGTGGGTGAGCCACAGGGCATGGTGGGTGACCTGGGGCATGGTAGGTGACACAGAGGCATGGTGGGTGACGCACAGGACATGGTGGGTGACACAGAGGCATGGGTGACCACAGGGCATGTCAGGTGACATAGAGACATGGTAGGTGACACAGGCATGGTGGTGACACAGAGGTATGGTGGGTGACACAGAGGTATGGTGGGTGACTCATGGGAATGGTAGGTGATGCAGGGAATGGTGGGTGATGGAGGTATGGTGGGTGATGCAGTGGTATGGTATGTGACACAGGTATGGTGGGTGACAGAGATATGGTGGGTGACATGGGGTGTGGTGGGTGACAGTGGGTGGTGAGGGTGACACAGTGGTGTGGTGGGTGACACAGTGGCATGGTGGGTGACATGGGCATGGTGGGGTGACACTGAGGCATGGTGGGTGACACAGGCATGGTGAGGCACAGAGGCATGGTGGGTGACAGAGGTATGGTAGGTGACACAGGCATTGGTGATGCAGGGCATGGTAGGTGACAGTGGAATGGTAGGTGATGGAAGGCATGGTGGGTGACAGGGCATGGTGGGTGACACAGGTATAGTGGGTGACAGCAGTGGCATGGTGGGTGACAGAGGCATGGTGGGTGACACAGAGGCATGGTAGGTGACACAGGGGTATGTGGGTGACACAGGATTATGGTAGGTGACACAGAGGCATGGTGGGTGACACAGAGGTATGGTAGGTGATACAGGGGTATGGTAGGTGACACAGAGTGGTATGGTGGGTGACTGGTATGGTAGGTGACACAGTGGTATGGTAGGTGACACAGGTATGGTAGGTGACTGGGTATGATGTTGACACAGAGGTATGGTAGGTGACAGAGGTATGGTAGGTGACCTGGGTATGGTAGGTGACACAGAGGTATGGTAGGTGACACAGGTGTGGTGGGTGACACAGAGGTATGGTAGGTGACAGGTATGGTGGGTGACACAGGTATGGTGGGTGACACAGGTGTGGTGGGTGTTGGTATGGGTGACACAGGTGTGGTAGGTGACACAGGTGTGATGGGTGTGCAAGGTATGGTAGGTGACACAGGTATGGTAGGTGACACAGGTATGTGTTGACACAGAGGTATGGTAGGTGACACAGTGGTATGGTAGGTGACTGGGTATGATGGGTGACAAGAAGTATGGTGGGTGACATTATGGTAGGTGACACAGAGGTGATGCGGAGTGGTAGGTGACACAGGTATGGTAGGTGACACAGGTATGGTGGGTGGTGGGTATGGGTGATTGACCAGTTATGGTAGGTGACACAGAGGTATGGTGGGTGACACAGAGGGTATGGTAGGTGACAAGAGTGTAGTGGGTGACACAGAGGTATGGTGGGTGACACAGGTATGGTAGGTGACACAGGGGTATGGTAGGTGACAGAGGTGTAGTGGAGTGACACAGAGGTATGTGGGTGAAGATTTGTTGACACAGGTATGGTAGGTGACACAGGTTGGGATGACACAGGGTATGGTGGGTGACACAGAGGGTATGGTGGGTGGCTAGACATGATGGGGTGACACAGAGGTATGGTGGGTGACACAGAGGTATGGTAGGTGACACAGAGGTATGGTGGGTGACACAGGTATGGTAGGTGACACAGGGTATGGTAGGTGACACAGGTATGGTGGTGACGGGGTATGGTGGGTGACCTGGGTATGGTAGGTGACACAGGTATGGTGGGTGACAGGGTATGGTGGGTGACACAGTGGTATGGTGGGTGACACAGGTGTGGTGGGTGAGCAGGATTATGGTGGGTGACACAGTGGTAGTGGGTGACACAGGTATGGTGGGTGACACAGGGTATGGTAGGTGACACAGTGGTATGGTGGGTGACCTGGGAAGACATGGTAGGTGACCAGGGTATGATGTGGCATGGGGGTATGTGTTTACACAGTGGTATGGTAGGTGACACAGGTATGGTGGGTGACCAGGGGTATGGTGGTGACACAGAGGGTATGGTGGGTGACACAGTTGTATGGGTGACACAGGGTATGATGGGTGACAGGAGGTATGGTAGGTGACACAGGTATGATGAGGTGACACGGGTATGGTAGGTGACACAGGTGAATGGTGGTGACAGGTATGGTAGGTGACACAGGTATGATATTTACACAGAGTATGGTGGGTGACACAGTGGTATGGTGGGTGACACAGGTATGATGGGTGACACAGAGGAGGTTTGACAGAGGTATGGTAGGTGACACAGAGGTATGGTAGGTGACACAGGTATGATAGGTGACACAGAGGTATGGTAGGTGACACAGGTATGATAGGTGACACAGAGGTATGGTAGGTGATGCAGGGTAATGGTGTAAGGGGCGGACTTTTTCTTTTTATTCTATCCTTCAGATTTATTTTATTTCATATATTTCTTCTCTTTTATTTTATTCTTTCTTATGTACTTATTTACTTATTTTCTTGCTCATATCTATCTTTTATATTAATCTTTTCTGGTGTACATAGTTTAATTATTTCATATGCTGTGACTTTCTTTCTACAGTATATGTATACAGTATATCTTATATTTCTTTGCTTATATTTTCCAAGTCAATATTCTTTTCTTTACTTTATTTCTTCTTTCATATATATTATTGTATTTTCTGAATTTTATGTCCTTACTTTCTCTCAATTATATCCTGTTTTAGTTATATTCTAAACCATGGATTAGTCTGGGAAACCATGCCATTATTATTATAACAATTATTATATTTACAACGGTAGCCTGCCACCACCCAGACTTTTATTAGAATATAACATATCTTTCTGAACTGTTAGGTAGCGTGCTAGTGAGCTTCTTGGCACGTGAGTTACAAAGTTATTTTCTGAGAACCAACGGGTAGCAGGGATAGAGCGGTGATACTCGTAGTTTACTAATTTAATATTTATTAGCATATGGATTGAGCAAGATGTTAATTAAGTACACTCAGACAAGACTGGACCACTTAGGTCTTACTTTTACATAGCAAAATAGATCTTCAATTCTTGATTACAACATTACACACTCATTATATTACTTCATTGTCAATACAGATGATTATATAACACTTGACAAGATCCAAAATTAAGATATTATTAAACACATCAAGTTAGTTTGGAATGAACAACATGACACTTTAACTAGACTCAGTGGTAGTACACCTGGTTGGTGGACTCAACCCCTATGCCAACGTTACCACTGGTAATACCAACATTCATGGGTTCAATACTCAACCTGGGATAACTATATTTCTGCTAATTATCCCCAATCATAGATATCAATACTGCTCAATACATATAGCCAAGATAAATGGACCGGACAAGACTGCGTCCCTTAGTGGCGGGATTTGTTTTCACAAACCGCCGAAACTCACTGGCAAGGCGCGGGGGGTTAGACTCGGTGCAGTGTCTCTGCACGGTGTTCCCTGGGTAATCTTGTCCTCGGATTCTAATCTCGCCATATTAAAGACATCCTTCAAGAACCATCTTGCCCATAGGCGGCTACCGAACCTCAGTAGTGGTGCCAACACACACAGTGCCTGAGATAATGATGGATAAGCGTCACTGGTGTGACGCTCCCCTGTGCATGAGCTTATACAGTTGGTCCTCACATTACGCGGTTAATGTAACCCGGAGGGTCCCGCGGAAAGTGAGGAACGC